CATAACACCCGGCTATTTTTTTTTCGTTGTAGTTGTCCTCATTGTTGTTTGGCGGCCTGTGCTGGATTAGAACCCGCCAGCTCCAGGCTTGAGCTCCAGGCACGGAGCCATCAAGCCATTTTTTTCTTATTTTTTTTAGTAGAGATATGATCTCACTCTTGCTCACACTCATCTCAAACTCCTGAACTATCCACCCACCTCGGCCTCCCAGAGTGCTAGCATTACAGGTGTAAGCCACCATGCCCAGCCCCACCGTATATCTTTAGCTAGAAGAACTGAAGTTCTGTTAAGAACAAGATTACTGGTGCAGTGGTAACAATAACTGCTGTTTACTGAACATTTACTCTGTGTTAAGACCTAATCCGCACAATGTGTTTTTGAGAAAAGTAAGGCTCAGAGATGTTTCACATCTTATTCAAGGCTGGTTAATCAAAAGGATCTCAATCCAGGTCCACTTGATTTCAAAGACTACACTGTTCCTATCCCAGCAGCCTCCTTATTAGAGGCCAAAAGATATGAGCTAACCACACAAGTGACTCCAGGGAGGTATGGGGCAGGCTGTGGAGTAGCAGGAGGGAATGTTCCAGGTATCCAACATAGAAGTAAGGCATAACTAACTGCAAAGCAGTGCTAAGGAACTTGGTAATTATTAACCCAAGTGCTTCCACAGAAATCCTGCCAAAACACCAAGCGGGGATCACCATCCCCACGCTACGGAGAAGAAAACCAGAAGGCTGACAGAGGTTCAGTGACTCATGCAGGGTTACCCAGTAAATGAGAAGCAGCAGTTTGCCTGTAAGTCTGCTCCTTTTGTAGCCTCTGGGTATTTGCTATGCAAATTGTTCTACTACCAAATGTTCTTCCACTGCCTGGACTTCTTCACCTAGAAAACAAAGGGCTCAAAAAAAAAAAAAAGATCTCCCCAGGGTCCTTTCAGCCCTGAGATTATGTGGGTCTCAAGAAGAAACTGCTAGAGACAGACTTGGGCAAGAGGCAACACTTCTTGCTTGTTTACCAATTGCTAGACACTTCATAATCTTAGTCTCTCTAATTCTCAATAACTCTAGAGATATATTCCATTTTATTACCCTCATTTTACAGATAATGGACCTAAGACTTGAGGAGGCCAAATGACTTGCCCACAGTTACCCACTCAGAAGGGTGAGTTAGATTTGTTGGTGTCAGGCAGACTCCAGGCTTTTTCCCCACAATGTCAACTTTGCCCTTAATTATCGGGCAGTCCAAGTGGGAGAGGAACATACCTATATTCCACTTTCTTAGCTGCCCCAAAGCCCCACTGCATAGTGCTCTATCATCTCATGCTAAGCTCTAACAGAATTTGCAGCTTTACTCCTGGGCTGCAGGGCAAGAGGGTGCCTGCTTCTTTTCCACAGGTGGGAGAACTGGTGGATTCAGTTCTTTGGCAAATGTTCTTTGTGCATACATTGTCCTTAGCCCTGTGGGGGCTGGGAGATTGGGGAAACAGAGAAAGAAGATCACAATCTAATGAGAGAAATAGATAAGCACCAGGCCATAAGTGTACAGGGTGATAAATGTCTAGATGGGGGAAGTACAGGGTACTATGACAGAGAAGAAAAGGGCTGTCCAGGGCCAGTCAGGAAGGCCAAGCCCTGCCTCAGCCCAAAGCAGGACCCAAACAAAAGCCTAGGTAAACAAAAGCCTAGGTTGAGCACACAGCCCTGCCAGCCTCTCCCTCCCAGAAGGCCACCAGTTGTGGTGCAAAGTGCATGGTAGGTCAGGAGACCTGGGTCCCAGATCCAGTCCTGTCAATGTACAGCAGGGAGAGTGACCTTGAACAATTCCCACTCCCCTTAGGCCTCCATGGCATCACCTGTACAGTTTAGGATGGGGTGTACCCATGGTCCTTGGGGATTCCTCCCCGCCCCTGCTCCCCGACCTCATCTCCAGAGAGGTCAGAAATTCCCCACAGAATTTTCCAAGGTTGAGCTTTCTCTCTCTGAGAAGCCCCCAGTGGGTGTTAAGTCACAGGCAAAGACCTGCTACAGGGGCCATTCTTCCTGTCCTCTGCCCCCTACCACTGTGCGGAGCCCAGCTCTCACCATCTTTCACTCTATGCCCAGACCCAGGTCTCCACGAAAACAAAGACCCTTCCCATACCTTTCTCACATCCCCCATTCTCTGTCCAGACCCCTCCCTAGGCCTGGATCTTGGCTCCGCCTCTGGCCCCTAGCTTCCGAGCGAGGAGTCTCAGTCGTCCCCTCCCCCCTCCCCGGACCCTTGCCCCGGCCTCTGCTCCCGCCCCCGCCCCACCGTGTGTGCGTCCGACGCCGCCAGGCCAGGCTCTCACCGCGCCGCAGCAGTCAGGTCCCCGGCGCAGGGACCCGAACCCCGTAGCCACCGCCGTGCCGCCGCAGAGATGCTGCACAGCCGCGAAGCCATGTTGGAGCAGCGAAGGTTGCAGGAAAGCCCCGCCCAAACCGGTGGCGGAGGCGGAGCATATGTAACCCATGTCCCCTTTGGTTTGCCGGTCTCCCACTGCACCTAGACAGGTGGGCGTTGCCCCTGGGCGTCCCCCAACTCCACAGGTGCTGGACAGAAGTCGGGGTCCTTGTCGTCTGAGCCCCTACAGCTCTGCTGATGACTAGCTCTGTAACTTTAAGCAAGCCCTTGCGTACTCTGTGCCTCAGTGTCCACCACGGTAAAATGGGAGCGTTGAACGATAACTCCAGGGGTTCTTCACCAAGCTTTCCAGGATAAGCTGCAGAGGGTCAGTAAGCCCCCTGAAATTGTATACAAGGTTGTGTGCACCTGTGCGTTTCTCGGAGGAAAGGCGTCCACAGGCAGAATTTGTCACACTATGAAAGGAACAAACTCAATGCCAGGTGAAGACAGGTGGGCAAGGCTGGTCCCAGGGACCCTTTATCTCCACCATCTCTTTTTCCCTTTCCATTCCCCTTTTTTTCTCTACCTGATCCTTGTGGGGCCTCGCACCCTCCTTCTGCCCTGCCCAGCTCTTTTGCTGGCCTCCAAACTAATCTCTTTTCAGCCCTCAGATCACAGACATCCAGTGGCCTCATCAATTACAAAGGAACAAGGACATACATCTTCCAAAAGAATGTGCCCACTTTGGGCTCGGCGCTTGTGGCTCAAGTGGCTAAGGCGCCAGCCACATACACTTAAGATGGCGGGTTCGAATCCAGCCCGGCCTGCCAAAACAACAATGACGGCTGCAACCAAAAAATAGCCTGGCGCTGTGGCGGGTGCCTGTGGTCCCAGCTACTTGGGAGGCTGAGGAAG